GGGATGGGCATGGCTCAGGCTCCTCCCGACAGCAGCGCCAACAGCGAGGGCTCGAGCGGTGCCTCCAGAGAAAACTGTGACACATGAAATCCACGTGGGACCTTCACAAGGGGGAAGGGAGCTTTTTTGTTGCACAGGAGAGGCAAATCTAAGGATTACTGTAAAATGAAGTTCTGTCTAATATTCCTTTTTTGAGTACATTTTTTAAATTATAAAACATACAAAGGTAAACGAAGAAAACTTGCCAAGTATGTTCTGTGTATGTTCTGTGAAAGTACCTACAGCACAGTTGCCTTTTTTTCATTTATACGTGTAAAATTATTGTATTATATGACACGGTTTTGTCCCAACACGACTGTATTTGCTAAGCTTTGTGCATTTAAATATTTTTATTTATTTGGTTTTGGGCAGTATTAATATATCATAAACATATGGTTACTGTTTTATATATTCTAGTTCATCCAATCCATGTATGCTGTAAATGTGCTAGTCTTTAGGATGAAAACCAATAAAGAACTGACAAGAATAACAATGGTGGCTTACTTTTAATATGTCTGTGGTAAGTGAAAATAAACACTTTCAGGCTCCTTGACTTGATACACTTTTATCTGTTGGAGCCAAGTTGTGCAGGGAGTCATTTTACACAGATGTGCAAGTCAGGAAGTAGTAACTTCTAACCCCTGCTCAAGAGCAGCTGATACAAATTTTCTGTAGTTAAAAGTGAGGCACCAGCTTGTCCCACATGCTTCACATTGTGCAGCAGCAGTTAAGTAAAGAAATAATATGAAGTATTTTTCTTCCTTAATTTTATCAACTTCCTCTGTGAATATTCTCTAAGAGCTTCCTGAGCTTTGTTCTCTGTTCTTTCAGTTTTCCTTCCATTAGCAGAATTTTTTCTCTACTGCTGCTTTCCATTGAGCAAACTCATCCCTCCAAGCAGCTGTAGCAGTTGGGCTGCTTTTCAACAGGGACAGGTTGTCCTTGTTGATGGTCATTTGGTTTCACTTTACATAAAGTTTATATAATAGTGTAGGAGACAATAATTTAGGGCATTCTGATTTCTGTAAATGAAGAACACAAAAATATAATTCTGCTTCCACTGGGAGTTTGAGAACTGCCAAGTAGAATTTTCTTTCTGTGAAAGAGGGCTGAGGAGCATTGGTGGAGCTCAGTGAAATAGTTTTTTTTAGTTATATAAAAGAAAAACAATAGAAGATAAAAACCCACACTGCTTTCATTCGAAATGCAAAAGGAGAAGATGCTTGACAGGTAGGAATTCCTGAACTGTAAATGCAAAATCAGATTCATATATGTTCACACACACACATATATATATATACATATACACACAGATTGCAAAAGTTCTAATTGGTGTTAAAAAGGTATCTACCAGTATTATTCCTAATTTTAAAAGGTGGGGTGGTTAAAGAATGGTAGAAAATCTGACATCTTTAAGAGGCATTCTGAGCTCTCAGGAGAGTGTCACATGTTTGAAGCTGGGGAATGTGTCTCCATAAAGATTGCTCCATTTGGAGCCCACAGTGACCATGGCTCTGGTTCCTGTGGCTGTGTGAAGGGCATTTGTGTCCCTGTGGGCTGTAAATGATCCCATGGGGAGCTGCTGGGAGCAGCAATGACCACACGCTCTGCTGAGGAGCAGAACTCCATCTCTCCCCCATGACTGCTGCTGCCCTTCGGGCAGGGCTTGAAGGGCTGGTGCAGGCATCTGTGTACAGGCACCAACATCAACAGCACTTCTGAAGGGATTAGCTGATGCCACAAATATGCCTAAAGTCTGAAACGTGTTCTGGGACAAAAGGAATAGTCACAGATGAAACACAAAAAATGCATGAAAGAATAGAAAACCAAGAAGGGTACAATAAAAAATAGCAAACCACTTGTTTAAACCAGAGAAAGAGTCCTCATCAGAAGAAATTGTATGTAATTTTCATGACCAAGTGTGAGTGTTTTCAACGTGTTTCAGTTTGTGAATGCCTAAATATATCTAAGACTTGTATCTTAGAAACTTTATATATTGTTGCTGACTGCATGTGGGTTTGTTTAAAATATCTCTTCCCAGTGAACTACAAGACTTCTAGGCAATGAAGGGGAAAACATAACAGCAACCTCTTTTTCTCATATTGCTTTAAATGTCAGGAAAACTTTCCCAATTCATGAAATATTTTGCCCTTCACAATTTGGGATGGATGCAGTTTATCCTTTTATTCACAATGTGATTTGAAGAGGGGCAAGCAGGAGATGGGTAAGTAACAAGAGTGGCCGACATGGACACAGGTGTCAATGGAACCTTTCAGCTTGGACACCAGGAATGTCATAACCCTGCTCACCATGGGAAGCTGGTGGGGTGTGGTGTTAATAACACCAAGGTTGGGGGTTTGATCCCTGTATGGGCCAGTCACTTAAGGGTTGGACTCGATGGTCCTGGTGGGCCCAAGGGTGGTGGAAGGACTGGAACCGGGCTGGCCCCTGCAGATGGAAGGGTGGAAGAAATCTGGGATGTCTCCGTTCCCCCCCACAGAGTATTGAGAGAGAGAGAGAGAGAGACAGCAGCAGCAGTTTTTATCAGCAGTTCACCATGGGGAAGGAGAAGAGCGGGGTGGGGGGGGGCCGCAAGGTGCCCAGCCTGGGCATCGAGCCATCCCCGGGAGTCGGGACTTTTAACCCTTCCTGAGAAATGAAAGCTTTGTGAAATTTTTTTCTTCCTTGGTTTGAAAGAGAGGAAGAGAGACAGCTTGGACCCTGGGATGTTAGAAGGAGAAATTCTAGGTGGGAGGAGATGATGGAGTGGCTTTTGGCTGGACTTTTTCTTAGTAGTTACAGACTAAACCAATCTTCTCCTCCAAGAGAGACTGTATTTTAGGAGGATGCCAGTGAGCCAAAGAGACCTGCTTCAGCTGGGAAAAGACAGAAATGGAGCGAACAAAGAAAAGTTTAGGGGGTTTGTGGTGGTGTCCCCTGACCTCAAAGAAGAAGAAGAGAAGAAGATCTCTGTTCTTGGACCCTCGGCCCCAGGGGAAAATGGGGGAGACTGTGGTCCCAAAAACTGAAAAACTGAACTGTTGTTTTTTTCCCCTCTTGGCAGGGCATCCTTGAAAGGAAAAATCCTAAAATCAGTCTGTCCATCCATGCATTGGTAGTGAAAGCACTGTGCATGGAAAGGAGAAGGGTCACCATGGCAAACTTTTTCTCCGGGCGGTGCCAT